CAGTCATGTTTCCCTCTTTTGAAAAAGTTGCTACAAAAAAATATATTCTGAGAGCTTTTCTTTAATATTCCATTGTTCAGCTTAATGTGTGAGTGGGTGAAGCTCATATTATTGAATAAGGGGCTAATTGGGTAAGGTGTAAAGAACAGGAGGGAAGAGCGTTAGGAAGAAGAAGCTACATATCTGCACCTTTGCAAATCATGGCAGTTCTGCGCGGAAAGAATGGAAACAGAACGAATATACTCTCCTTGGGAAAGAACGGGGATGAAATCGAAAATGTACATTTAAAAAGTTAAGGATTATGTATGTTTTTTTTTTTTTTTTTTTTTTTTCCGTTTTTGCCTGACCGTTCATACGATTTGGCTAGATATATTTTTTTTTTTTACCGACTTGTTCATACAATTTGATAGATTTTTTTTTTTTTTTTTTTTTGGCTAATTACGCACGGAATGAAGATGTAGCGCTGCGAGGCGAGACTGTTGCAGCTTCTTAAAAATGGAGAAGCACACCTGCGAGCTTCGGAGAGGTTTGACGGCGCTCCCATTTTGTGTACCTTTGCGCACATTTTTGAGCACACCTTGGGGGAAGTGAAGGAGAAATGTTGGAAACAAGCGCAGGGAAGGCATTTTAATTGTCGTAAAGGAGGACAGACTCCCACCAGGGTGTGTGTGTACCTCCGACCAAATTAAGCTTTAATTAGGACAAAACAAGAAGGATGCTCCACAAAATATGTGTGGCAGAACGGGGAAGTACAATAATGCACACATTTGTCCAAAAAAATACAATAAGTAGTAGAACATGGTGACCCCACATTGTGCGGGGTAAAAAACCACTGCAGAGATTGTTATGTATTGCATTGCGTTCCACGCAGATGCATAAAACATCTCTACAGGCTATTTTAAGGGGCCAAGTGTCTTCCCCCTAGAATGCATGCCAAATGCAGCATCAATTTGCCATTACGATGTGCGCAATTTGTTGTGCGTGAAAAGGAGAGGGAAAGACAAACTAGAAAGATACTTTTGTAAGAATTAATTGTTTTTTTAAAAAAAAGGGGAAATGTGGCAAGCACTATGAGAAACAAATTAAAAAAAGAACGAAATGAAAAAATACATAAAAAAAGGTTTCGCCGCCACCTAATGATCGCTAAAAAGGCTACTTGTTCGGTGCGAGCAAAAGGGGTGGGCATAAAACTGGTGACGCAAAATCAAACAAATTGTGATGCAATATGTCACGGTACAAAACAAACAGCGGAAGGTGTACTTCCCCCCCCAAAAAAGGGGCACACGTGTGAAGCGACCCAGCGTATATATGTAAAGCATCCAATTCGGTGTGGTAGACGTAAGGAAACGCTGGACAACCTCACCTATTTCAAAAGAGCACACCAAACACATCAATTAACATCGTTGATGTACAATTTGTTCAGTTCGTACGAAATTGCAGATGGGGGGAAAATTCCAATGTCCGTGTAAAATAGGGTAATAAAATGGTGGGGAAGAAATTCATACAAATTTCTACCTTCGTCAGTTGTATTTTCTGTACAATAAGAGTAAAACTGTTGGGAGGAATTTTTTATTTTTTCAATTTTTAAAAATTTATACGCTTCACAAGTCACATAAAATTCTTTTTTATTTAATGAACACAATTCGGCTAGCTGTTTAATACCTTTCTTGTTAATAATTCCTCCATTGTCGATTACGAGTTCTGTTCCTATGACGACAAAATCGATTTTGCTTAATACATCCTTAACATGGTCAAGGTCAATTTTTGTTACTTGAATATGTTCCCTCTGCAAATCTTCAACAAACTTATCGTCGAATTTTTTGTCCTTCTTTAAGTAGTCCTTACAGATATGCTCTGTGCAGGTAAAATACACACTTACGTGCTTCATTTGATTCTTTACGACATTCAGTAGTAAGCTTTTTACGCACTCGGAGTTGCTGTGTGTTAGGATGGTCGTTTTTTTATTGATGAACATGATATTGCTGCTATTCCCTATGACCCTTAAACTCTGTTTAACGTTTTCTGCGAAATCCTGGGCGCTGCTGGAGATGAGGTTCTTCAGGTTGGGGATATTCTGTCCAGGGGGGAAGATGACGGGAAAAGGAGGATAAGCGGCGACTGGCAGGCAGAATAGGCACATATATAGGTACGCACACGGAACGCACACAGATGTGTGCTCGCGCGGGGGTATTAAATGATCAACCGGGGTGTTTCCCCCAGACGGACCGCTTCAAGCGAGCTTCCTCAAAACATTCCCTATGCGTATAAAGCAGTATATGCACGGGTGCACACAGCAGTAGACACAGACTCGGACGCAAAAACACATGTGTGTATTCCCCCCGCACGCTCGCTCAACTTTCTTACATTTTCATTGTGGGTGTATTTTTTCACCGCAAAGTGAAGGTAGATGTCGCTGGAGGACAGAATGGGGTATATGGTCATCCTTTTCGAGTGGGGCATGGCTAAAATCTCTTTTTGTGTTTTCTCGTTTTTTACGAAACTTTTTAGTTTTCCATTAGCCTCATTTAGGTTAACGAACAGTTCAAAGTTGGTCTTTGTCATGTTACTCTGTAGGACTCTGCGATGTGTGTGCGTGGAAGGGTCACACATGGGACTTCATATAGGTACGCATTTATACACAAGCACGCGTTCAGACTATAAACATACGCGCGCTACTCGAATAGAAAGAGAAATGGGCTATTTATTGCATTTCCTCTTTTTTATACACGATGAGCTTCTCATTTGGGGTTTGTGACTGTGGTCGTGTTGTCTGTGCGTAATTCGCCCCCCATTCCTGTTTCCATTTATCGTGTTTTCACGCGTTAAGCGCTTGCATCTTTAGTTCTCTCAGCATGGGGTTAATGGGATTGTTGGAAGCTAACTGATCGTGTTTTGTGCTTTTTTTTTTTGGTGCATGTCCAATTGTTTTTTTCCCCTCTGTGTGTTTCATTATTGTTCATTTTTTATTTTTCATTTTTTTTTTTTTTTTTCCTTGTGGGTCATTTTTTGGTCTTACTGAGCTATGGCCTTCATGGCCGCTATGTGCATCTCGTCCTTGTCCTCAAAGTAGTGCCTTTTGAACGCGCGCACGACTGCATGGGGGATGGAAATAATTGGACGCATAAAATGTTGTGTTGTCGTAGGGGCAACAAGGATCATTTAAAGCATGGTGTGTAAAACGTATGCTACGTAAAATCTTCCGTTTTAAAAATAAAACTGTTGACCCTACGAACAAGCCATATGTTGTAAAAGAAAAAAAAAAAAAAAAAAGCGTGAACCTGTAACAACGACAGGTACATACCTTCATGCTCCTCAGGCGTGTCGCCTTCCTCATTCGATTGTTCACAGTGCTCCATTGTAAAAGGAGTCATTTGGTTTTCACGAAAAAGGGAGGGCAAAAAGCAATTCCGGATGAAATGCTCTTTTGTGAAAATGTTCCTATTGTGTTGTATTTCATATTTGGATAATATTTATTATTATTATTTTTTTTTTCCCCTAATTGGTAATAATTTTTTCAATTTTTGCCTGACCTGTGCAGATACTTTTTTCGCATTTGGAACGGGGAAGAAGTGCTTGTGCTTCGTTCGCTTCGGTAGTTGTGGAAGTTTTCAATGTTGCGGGGTTTTCCTTTTTGCGCAGTTTTCACTTTTGTGAAGTTCCCATTCTTGTGAAAGTGGAGAACGGAATTATGAACCTTTTCATGTAGCTTTTAAAACTCGGATGGGATGCCGTAAAAAGCGCGTTAAAAAAAAAGAAAAATAGATAGTGAAATTGCAATGTGAACATACACAAATATGACGCTTTAGGAAGGGTGAACTTTCTCTTCAAACACACTTGGTCAATTTTAATCTTTTTGACATTTAGAATTGTGCAATTTGGATAAGGTTTAGCCATTTAAAAAAATGAGATGAATGACAAGCTGTTCATCTTTTTCTACTTATTCCTGTTAATCGCATCGTAGGGGTAGAAAAAAACAAAATGTCATAATAAGTAACCCCGTGTGTGTGTAACTTTGCAGCCCACTTAAAGACACAGCAGTGTTGTATTTTCTCCATTTATGGGCAAACGAAATTAATGGCGTCTTCTATTTTTTTTTTTTTTTTCTTTTCATGAAATAGTAGTATATTTTTCTCTACCATTTGTAATCCTTTTGGTGTCTTCAAAGAAAGGGTACAAATAAATGAAATACAGGGAGTGCAAACGTTTTAAGCAAAAATGACTTCTCCTTTTTTGGGAACAATTCGGATGCCATTTAACCGTAGTCAAATAGCACACACTGTGGTAGCTTTACATCCCATGTCAACAAACTGACCTGAGGGCATTCATGCATTTGAGCGACTGTCGGTGAGACAGGCCACCCCAGGTGCTCGGTTGTTTAAGTACCAAAACGGAAACAAAATAATGTGTCTATGGTTCATCATACAGGGATGATAGTGGTACGTGTACCTCCACAAAGTAAAAAAAAAAAAAAAAAAAACAACAACAACAGGCTGGTCGAACCGTGAGGGAGAATGTTGCATCCGCCCACGGGGTTCGCATCGAAGGGTTAACCAAATGGGGGGGGGGGGGTTCTCTCTCCCCTTTGGACTACCTACAAAAAGAAATGGGTGTTTAGGTGCGATAGGATGCTAGCGCGGAGTCACCCCACGTATAGTAGGTCCACCCGTAGTAGTACACACATCTTGCAACGAAGTGTGTGCTCAAAGCTTCACTAAACAAGAAGTGGTATGCGTACCATCAAAACGTACTCACAAAAAAAAAATATAGCATCGATTTTATCTCCACTTGCGCTTAATGAGTGTGCTTCTTTTTGCGGGAAAAATGCTTGAGGCGGGGGTCTTCCGTTGATTCGGGTGGGGTTTGCATGGCAAGGCCACGATGGGTAGTACCTCGTCCACATCGCCACTACTAACCGGGCCACTTCTAACCGGGCGACTTCTTCACCGCGCTTTAGAACTGCTCGAGGATGCTGCCCACCCCGAGATCGCGAGAAAGGCACGTCTCCTCATCTGCGTCCGAGTTGTCCGGAGACACGCAGTGTGTCGTTTCATATGTGCCGTAGGGATGGGGCGAACTTGGGGTCTTCTGTACATCCTTAGGTGTTTCGTTAAAGACGGGGAAAAGGTATAAGAATAGGATGGGGATGATATTAGTGAGGCAGCAAATGATAATCATGAGGGGCAAATTTTTAAAATTTCTTGAAGTAATATGAAGTCCATAAGTTAGGAAAGATGAAAGGAAGGAACTCATAATGACGGCTAGATTATGAACAGATAAGAACAGAGAATAAATGGTGGACTCGAATCCTGCAGGAATAATACGTGAGCATTTAACTAAAATAGGCATGGTTTGAAATTCAGCAATAAATTCTATGAGGACAGTGTCCGTGATGATAAATAGAGTGTTTGGAAGGTAGAGGAAGTGGTTCATCTTCGTTACGACAATTAGGGGTAGCAAACAGAGGGGAGTAATAATAATTGTGGAGTACAGAATTAATTTGTTTACGTCGACTGTACTGAATAGAAACATGTAGGATAAAATAGCTATTAAGCTAGCCAAAGATTGGAACATGGCCATTTTCCCCAATAAATCAGGACTAAATTTTAATTCATTAGTCATATAAAAAAATAAAGTGCTTCCACATGATGGCATAGACATGAGGAGGAAGATAAAAATAATAAAATTTTTAACATGTGGTATTTTGACCATATCGTAGATACACTTTACTTGATCCTTCATAGAACATTTTTTGTAACTTTTTTTTTCCTTGGTGAAAAAGGAAGCGGTTAATACGAGTACAGGTAAAAAAGCCCCAATGAGAAATATATGTTGCTTAGTAATCACTGATAGGAGGTACCCTGATAGGTAGGACATGATTGCAAAGCTTAATTTTCTGAATCCAAAAAAGATGGACACATTTTGTGCTGAGCATTTTACTGTTCCTTTTCGGCTGGAGGTCACCACTTGTGCTTCTCCTATGACGTTACATAAGGAGCTCCCAAAGAAATATATCATTAGCAGACCCACTGTCACAGTAATGTTCGTGTGGCTTATCGTCCCCAGTGCGATTAGTGAGAGGATGCACAGTAGGGACCCAAGGAGCAAGTAGTACTTTCTTCGGAACCCCCAGATGGGGAAGCTGTCTGAGATTATTGCCCACAGGAGCTTGATCGACCAGGGGAGCTTTATAAGGCTCAGGATCACGCTGAGTGTTGCTGCGTCGATGGGGGTTGGAATGTTACGTGAGGGGGCGATGTGCCGCTGTAAAGGGACAGTATATTCTCATGGGGAGGGGGTTTTCCTCCAAAAGATCTCCTCAAATAAGGACATCGTCATTATTTGTGAACCATTGGCTTGTTCGCACACACATGTGTATAATACGAAACTGTTTGTAGGGAGATGTGTTCACGCATTCATATTAACCTACCCGGGTGCACCTTGTAATTGTCCTTGAAGAGATACAAAATGGACAGGTTGCAGAGTACCTCGACTCCCTGCAGCATCGCTATGTGGAAGGGGGGCAACGTGTCAGGTGTGTGGGAGGCGAGCGTTAAAGGGGCGGCAAGCTAGCCTTTTTTAAAAAAGGGGAATGTGCATGTAGGGCGTGCTGAGGGGGGGCAGAAGTGGCTAACAAACCTATAAGACTTGAGGAGACTTTGTTGTATATGGAGTCGTCTTCTGGGTCCTCTTCATCGTTTACTATTTTTTCGATCAAGTAGCTGTTCTCGGTGACGGAGCCGGAGGACTCAACTGCAGTGGAGGGGTGGGGGCGAAGAAACATATGGCAATTGTTCAAGTTCGCACTTGTCCAGCTTGCGGAGGGGGGAGCCGCTAGGGCAGTCCACACACGCACACACATATATATAGACGCGTCTTCGCGTGTGGGCGTACTCGTTAAGGTGCTGCACGTTTCGTAGCTCGTGTGCTTCTCCATAGTGCGTAGAATGAACAAGTGAATGGAACAGTGTTATATGTGGAGGGCAAGTGGATTGACGTTATCCCAACTGGTCCTAGCAACAAAGCCTTTTTTAGGGGAAGGAATAAATACAATCATTCATCATAAGGGTAAAATGGAAGCGAATGCGCGGGGTGATTGCAATGACGTAACGAACAAAGGGGAACATAACACAGCACGGGGGGGAAACACACACAAAAAAAAGTGACCCCCCAAATTGGTGACTATATTGAGGAGTGTTTAAGATTCGACCAGAAGGACATGTTGTGGTTCAGGTGTTCCGTCGAGCTGGCAAGATAACGTTTCACGGATGCAGCATGGAGATGACGCGTTAGACAATGAAAAAAGGAGCAACAGCGATAACAAAAAAAATAAATATATACACGATGTGTACATTTACATATGTGTATATGCACATGTGTACCGTCACCCGTGTGTCGCCTTTTTAATTTTCTAAATAGGAAAATATCAAGGCAGTGGAAAGGGCAGCAGTGGAAGGAAAAAACACTAACGTAGCGTGTATAACAGCGTGGAATACAAATTTTCCCGATTGTGCAATCGATGGAAGGAGGTGTGTGTCATGGACGGTGGACCTGTTGTTAACGCGGTGAAGCGTTAGACGGATGAAATACAAAGGGACAATTCGTGAAAATAAAAAATTTTGAAGTAGCAAAGGTTTTCCCGTCGAACTGATCAGTGTGAACAAAAATGCACACAGCACATGAAGTGCAAGCGCGGAATGTGTGCTCTTTCCAGGGAAGGAATTTTTTTTTTTTTTTTCCCGCCATATGTAAATTTAAAATGCACAAGTTGTTTATGAATAATTGTGGACCAGTTGAACCTTTTGAGCAAACATCATTTTTGTTGTTCCTTTTTTTTTTTTTTTTTTCCTAAATGAAGATACCAAATGGGAAATAATATTCCCCCGTTGGGTAACAGAAAAAGCGGGGGGAGCAAAAAGCAATTTGTAAAAACTTCCCCATCCATGAATCAGAAAAAAAAAAAAAAAAAAAAAATGTGCAAATTGGGAAGGTGCGTATCTGTCTGCTGCATTATAACCCGTCTCTCTGTTGGTTTGCAGGACGGTAGCTACAAAGCTGATGTGCTTGTTCGTTAAGAAGGTTAGTGTGTGTGGGGTCAACTCTGTAAATGTTCTCAGTGGTCATCGTTATGGTGGTTCTTCTTGTGCCAATCTTTGCTATGCCGCACCCAACTGTGCTGTCTTTTTTCCCTTCCCAAGTGACGTGATTTTTTCAAATGGAGAAGCTGGGATACAGGCAACTAAACTTGCACGCACGCCGCATCGACTTTGTCGTCTGCTTCCATTTTTCTCCCTTTACAGAATTGGTGAAATGGCCTACATCTCATTCTTCACATGTGGCTTGAGGAGGTTTTCATGTAGAGGGGGAGGCCGTGTTGCCGCCATTGGGGTGTGACAAAAATTGTTGACATATACAATGTGTGCGTTTGGGGACGGGGTGACGAGGAGGGAACAAAGCATTGAAGGGAAGGACGTCTTTTTTTTTTTTTTTCGCTCATCAGTGTGGAAGTGTTTAAATGTGTGTAGGCCTGTGCACATTATTGTAATGCTCTCTTCCCATAAAGGATATCTGTGACGGGAACAGCGCAGAAGACTCCTCCCCTGGGGAGAGGGAGTTACCGTTATTGTGGGGGGGAGGGAAAAATTATCCGTCACGGGGGAAGCAATTTTGAGCGTGGGTATGCTGCTCTGCGGCACGTACATGTGACACCTCTTTCGCGAAAGAAAAAAAAATAAATAAAAAAAAAAAAAAACACATTTGCGCACGCGGCGCACCGCATTAAACATAGCAAAGACAGCAGCGTTGAAGGGAAGCGCAAGACCAGTTCCATTTCGAAGCAACATTTTTGTGTCGCCTTTTTTGTGCCAGATTACGAGGGGGAGACCGTTTTTTCTCTCGTATGATGTCTTTTTCGAAACATCCCCAATGATGAAAAAGAAGAAAGAGAAAAAAGGAAGCAGCGATGTTGTGAATAAGGGGAAAGGGGAGCAGGGTAATCCACTGAGCCATTTATCACAGGAGGAGGATAAGGATGGATATGATGACACGAGAGAGATCACCCTAGAGGGGGAAGTATCTTTCGTTGGGGAAAGCACCAAAAGGGAGACCAGCAACATGAGTGTGGAAGGGCATGTCCCTTTGCAAGGGGTAAGCACCCCTGCAGATGGAGAATCTAATTCGGCGGTGGGGCAGCAGATCTTTGGAGACAGCCCAGAACATTATGAATACTACGAAGAAGAAACATTGAGGGGGGAAGAGGAAGAAGAAATCAGCGACATATCAACAGATGAAATGCTGAGTGGAATGGAAAGTGATACGGACGTGCCGGAACAAGTGAAGCAGTTTACCTCGGGAGGAAAATTTATGTATAAACATTTTTATAATGAAGAGATCAGTGCGTTGTCAGAGGAAATACAGGAAAAGGAAAGGATTCTAGAGGAAATTAATAAGACAACATGGAAATTAAAAAATCGATTCCTCAAGTTGGAGAAACACATCAATACCAAAAAGAAGGAAGTCACAAAAAAAAAGAAAATTGTGGAGGAAAAGAAAAAAATGCATGAAGAAGAAAATGGAGCGTGTGTAAATGTCCAAGCAAAGAATCAGTTTTTGGTAAAACAAAATGAACAGCTAAAATGTGAAAAAGAGAGAAATAATGCAAAGATTATAAAAACACAGAACGACCTCATAGAGTGTGAAAAGAGCATAGAGGATATGAAGGAAAAATTAGTCGATAAGGAAAAGGAACTATACGAATGGACCGTTCAAATTGAAAAATTACAAAAGGAAGAATTCGAAGTGGAGAAATTCGCCCTTTGTCAGGATAAGGAAATTGAAAATATGACTTACAAGTTGGAGAAACTAAATGTGGAGAAAGTAGAACAAGAAAAAAAAGTGAACAGAATGAAGACAAAAAATATGCAGCTACATATGGAGTTGCAAGAAAATATAAAAGAAAATGAAAAAATGGAAGAAGAAAAAAAAAAACTTCGAACGAAATGGAAGTGTGTTGTGGACAGTATAAATAACAGAGACCAAACAATCTTCAAATTTGAAGAAGAATATACCAAATATACAATGAAAAAAGAAAAACTAATGGATAAATGTAAGGAGATAAATGAACATATAGAAATGCAGAGGGGAAAGAATCACGTGTTGAGTGATAAAGTAAAAAGGGAAGAAACGAATTTAAACAGAATAAAGAAAGAACAGAATAAGGTGGATGAAGAATTGAAGAAGGCATATGATGAAAGGGATATTTTGGTCAAAGATTTGGAGTGCGAAAAAATCACAAGTAGGGAAAAAGTAGAAGAGAAAAATAATCTCCAAAATAATTTAACCGAGTTGGGAAAGACACTGCAGAAGTTAGTCCAATCATTTGAAGAGTCGAGGAGAGAATACACCAAGGAGGAATTAAAGAGTGTCGAGAAGAACCAACTTATCAAGTCCAGCGAGCAAATCCTAATCGAACATAACGGGAAGCTAGCCAAATTGAATGCACAAATAAAAATGCTGGATGAAGAAAAATTTCAATTACAAGAATATTTACAGAAGAGCAAAAACGAGTACACCATTTTGGAGACAGATATGGTTGGCACACAAATAAAAATTAAGCAAATGAAAAGTAATATAAAAAAAATGGAACAAGAATTGGAAAGGCAGAAGGAGATTCTATACAAGTTTGACTTCCAAACACAAGTGCTAACGAAGAAACTTAATGTCGCTTCCGGGATTAGCACCTTTGAAAAAAAAAAAAAATGTCAAAAAAAAATAGACACTCTGGAAAAAGAGTTCACTAGGTATGAAGATATATACACGACTCTGAACAACGAGATGAAACGGATTAATGTTGAATTAAAAAATATAAAAACTCAGCAGATGTCCATGAAGGAAGAGAAGGGAAGCATTTTACACGACACAGAAAAGTTGGAGCTTGAAATTAAATCCTTAGAAAGTACCGTGCTTGCCCAAAATAAAGAAAAAGAAAATGTCATGCTGATCGAAATGAACCTAAAAATAGAGTTAGACAAAATGAAGGAAATTTTTTCCAACAATTTGGATAGCTTAAATGTTTTAAAAGTAAAAAAAAAAAAAAATGTTCAAAATGAAAAGCTGAACGAGCAAGACATGCATGCACACATCGACTCGCTCAAAGTGATTGTAAAGAATATGAGCGACGAATTGCATAAGTTAAATATGCAGGTGCACGACAAGAAAAATAGGTGCAACAATTTGGAGCTCAAGTTGGACGCAATCCATGTCCGCCACGGGGACGAGGAGCACCACCCGCAGGGACAACAGGACGAGGCTGGCCGATTGGACAGACCCGACGATCAAGACAACAAGCACATACTCTACAAAATAAAGATCGAAGAAGACATTTCTAATTTGAAGCAGGAGATAGAAACTCTAGATGCTAATATAGAAAAAGAAAACCAGCAGGTGAATCAGTTCCAGAAGACGCTAAATGAAATCATTCAGACGAACAAAGACTTCAGCGATAACATAAAATGCATCAACCCAGAGTACAAGGAGCTTTTAAAAAAAAAAAACAAATTAAACAAAAAGTGCAACCAAATTAAGGAGGATATTGCTTCCATAGAGAAGGATATAAATGAGTACAACAAAAAAATTAAAGAAGTGGAAAAAGAGCTGAATTATGTACTCACGGGAGCCAGAAGTGTGGAAGATAAAGTCACCGCTTTGAAGGAAAATAGCCGTAAAATGGAGGGAATCATTAATGACCTATTCGTCAAAATAGAGAGAGCCTCCAATCAGCTACGCACAATCGTCGGAGCCAAGAAGAAGCCGATGGGCAGTCAATTGGGTGGGTCCCTCAGCGACCACGATGGGGAGGCTGACCCAACGGACGGAAGCGCAGACAATGGCGATGAGCGTGTCTCACTGGAAAAGAGGGTCTTCAAGCAAATACAAATGGAATCCCTAAAGGAGAAGCTCGCTTTCCTCGTTGAGTGCTTCAAAAGCCACGGGGATAACGAAGTGGTGAGGGAGATTTACAACGTTATAGAGGCCTCCGAATGAGCGCAAGGACGAGGCGCAAAGGAGGGTTGCTCTTGTGTAGCGCTTACCAAACTGGGATTCTCCGTTTCATTGCGCGAGGAGTGCCGATTCTGCTATACCCGCGATGTCCATGTTTAACTGTGTCCACATGTATTATATATATATATTTATTTTTTCCCACACATGTTGGGGTCCCCTGTGATCAACCCGTCTAGTCCACCTTATTAGTTGCACAAATGTGTTTAACCGTATGGGGGGTGAACACATGCCTCGCGACATGGACCTTTGCGCGAGAATCACGACCACTTCAACAACGCCAGTTGGTTATCCCATTTTTATATTTACACATCCGATACCTCTTTTTATCGTTTAGTAAAAAGAAAAAATTAAATATATGACGAAAAAAAAAAAAGAAAAAACAAAATAAAAGGGGGTGGGGGAAAGCATATACACATATATATGCATATTAATACATATATAGGTGCGAGGAAAGACAGGGGACAAAGGGCATGTGCGCCGTGCCCCGATGCATGGATGGTGGGGGTATAAACAGCACACATGTGTAGATACAAAAAAAAAAAAATACAAGTGCAGGAAAAATGAAAAGGCTAACCATGAATTAAACAAACGAGTGGGCGCACTGGGAGAATTAGATTACCGCAGTGCGCGCGGCAATTTTTTGGGTGGCCACGTATTTGACATTTTTAACAGATGAATAGGAGTAACGCAATAGAGGAAAGGAGAAGTAGCGCATGCGATAAGTTTGCAGAAAAACTTGCACCCTTTACTTCGAGGCTTGTAAAGGCTTGTTCTACGTCGGCTGTCAAGGCTTCTGCGTCCACATTGTTCTTGATGATGTCGTTGGTTTCTTCGCCGAGGACGTCCCCTATGACTACGATGAGGGGGGAGCCGCTTACGTCGTTTTCATTTGCATCATGTCCGCTGTCATTTGGAGCATGTACGTTTTCATTTGCAGCATGTGCGTTTTCATTTGCATCGTGTCCGCTGTCATTTGCAGCATGTGCGTTGTCATTTGCCGCATGTCCGCTTTCATTTGCAGC